GGGGTTTTGATGATGGAGATGCACCCTGAGAGGTCCATACCTGCCTGCAGCAGCACAGGTGGGATGCTGTCCCCGGGCTGCTGTGAGGGGCATAGGCTGTGATCTGGATGCTTTTCCTCCTGCTGCTTGCAATGAGCACAGATACAGCTCAGGAAGAAGGAAGTCAGTAGGCAGCCTGGAAGCAGTGCTGGAGCATGCTTGTCTTTTTCCATAGCTGATCTACTTGAACCAAGAGTTGGGCTTGTGCAAAGATGCTAAGACCTTGGGGACTGTAAGCAGGTCTGAGCCTGCTAATGGAGTTGGGTCCTGCTTCCCTGCCAGTACAGACTGAACTAGACAAAATTAGAGATAAGTGGGAGTTCTCATCCTTTAATTTCTTCATGAAGAGCTGAAGTGTCATGAAGGGGTTTTCTTAGAACTAGGAAACAGTTCCTTCTCATAGGAGCAGAGGAGTACAGCTGCTGGCTGACCTGGGAGGTGTCACTGACCTGTTTAGGAGGGAGAAGGAGGCGTTGCTGGATGGGGTGGAGGTGTAGGAGCAGCAGGACACAGGGCAGTGTGGGCAGCCTGGACACCTGGAGAGCCTGCACAAGGTGCTTTGCTGCAGCCAGACTTCACTGTGTGCTGCAGGGTCACCACAACAGGGCGCAGGAGGCCGTCAAGGTGTCCTTGACCAAGAGCTCCTTGCTTTGGAGCTGCTGGTGAAGGAGCCCAGGGGAACACGTGTTTGTGCTTGGAACAGGGAACGTGACTCATCTTCAGTCTTAGGGAATTAAAGCCAGTCCTTGTCTCTTGCACCAAGTTCAAACAACCAGCTAGAAATCGCACAGAGAGCAGAATTTGCCACGGTCAGTTTGACAGAAATCTTAATCTGAGACACCTCTGTGAGGGACCTTTCTTAGCAAAGAAACCAGGCAAATGAGTTGTAGAAGGATAGATATAGGACATGCGGATCGTTTTAGTCCAGGTTTGGCTGTCAGGACCCAGTCTTTGTGGAAGTAATTGCAGCAATGTTCTTTCACAAGTGATTATTGCTGATGAGGTGATATAACACAGTGTCTTCGCAAGCCACACGAAAGTCAGCAACTCTAAAGTTCTGTCCTCCGCTGAGGAGTCTCTGTTGTTGACCAAGATTAAAGTCCAAAAGAAACAAAAAAGAACGACAAAGCCGAGACATGTTAGATTATAGTAGGACTCTCAGCAGAGGATTTGAAGCAAAAACTCGTCCACATCCCTTTGCACCATGCTAGAGTTTTGAGGTACAAATTTGCGCCCTCAGGTAACTGTGCTTTGGTTTCTCCAGCAGTGTGTGAGCAGTAAATCCACTTTAGGCATAAAGTGAAATACTTTATAGTAGCTTTCAGCTGATGGAGAGAAGAGGGAGCATCTTGCAGTTGTACAAGCGTAGTCAGTGTGCCCCCACAGCATGGGCAGTGCTCATGTGGAGCCCACTCCACCCATACCTTTGCTTACGTTTTCTTAAGTATGACGCATAGCTCCTACACTGTCATCAGTTTTTATTGTATTTGGAATAACTGTCAGGTTTTGACATATACTGTATTTTATTTTATTTTTAGAATTTATGGCCAAAAAAAAAAGGCAGTTCTTTCATAGTGTCATGTCTCTAATGCTGAATTTGGATGTCCACAGCTAGATATAGACTGGCTAATGTTAAGTTAAACCTATCTGGAGTTTTGATCTGGAGAAATCATAGAAATAATGAAGAATTGTTGTGTGTGTCTTGGCTGGAGAAAATAACATGATTACTGATAAAATGTAGGGTGGTTGTGGTGTCAGATGGATGCTGAGATGTGGGGGCACAGTAAAAGGGCCTGTATACTATACCATTGGCAAGCTAATGCTTTTTAGATTGTGTTGGGAGCCGTTGTGCCCCCACCCCGGGGTCAGACTCTCACCCGTTCTTCCTTAAATTTTAGCAAGCTGTTCACTGAGCAGCGGCATTAATGAAACATGGATTGCTATGGCTTTGTGCCTGCAGTTAAGATTCATTCGTGTCTAACAAGATGCAAACATTGATTCAAGCTTTTTGTTCAATTGGAATAAGACACACATATGTATTCATGTGCTGAGCATGGGCAAATAAGCCTTACTTGCTTAGGAAACAAGGGTAAAAAAGACAATTACATAAAGGAAAATTTATGAGGACAAAGGAAAATGTATATGTTATAATATATCTTATCAAGTTATTGGTACACATACTATGTATCTGAGCTAATCTATTAACACATACCAGTGTCTGTCAAGATACTTCTAGTGTCTTTATTTTTTTCCTAATTTTATGGTTTTGTGAAAGATAAATAGTTTAACTTTTTTTTCCCTCCAAGTATTTGGTGGGTTTGGTTGGTGTAATGAATGCCTTATCAGGTACTGCGAGACTCTCCACTGGAAAGAAGTAGTCGCAGAGGTTTCCACTCCATTTTATCTATATGAGAGCACCCAAGCTTTTGGGAAACATAATTCTGTAAATAAACATCTCTTTTTCCTCCTCCCAAATCAAGCCTGGTTTTGACCAGAGGGCTTGTAATGTTTGCTGTTTCCTGGGGTATCGTCCTGCAAAGAGCGGCCCAGATGCGCGAGGGACGGCTGGCTCCGGGCGCCCGGAGGGTGCAGTGACGATGGCAAGTGAGGGCCGTGCAGGTGGCGGCACTGCCCGGGGCTGAGGGTGACACAGCGGGACTTGGGTCCTCTCCCACCGCCCTGGGTCCGACCTGGCCGTTGGGAGGCAGCTCTCGAGTTGAGCCGTCCTCCGAAATCCTCGGGTCTGTGCGTTACTGTCTTTATTATGCCACCCTCGACGGTGCTTTTTTTTTTTTTTTTTTAAATAACCATAGTAATTGTGGGCGGATTCATGTCTTGCCCCCCGCCAAGTGCTGCGGGTTCAAAATCGCAGTCCGCTCAGGCAGCGAGAGAACGAGCAAACAGGGCAAAGATTAAATTTACTACTTAAAGAGCTGGGCGCAAATAGCGTGGAAAGCAAGACCAATACCTCTGCAAAAGTGAAAGGCACAGAAATATTTGACTGTGGGAGCTCAGGCCATCGAACGCTCCGATTTCCAGGGAATGAGGATTTCGTCTGTATGTGGTATTTCTACTGTGCTGGTGCCGAGGAAATCTGTGCCAAGCCCCCAATGTAGCAAGGTCTGTAGGAAGGCAGAACAAAACGGTGATTTTATGTAATGCTCAGGCAGACGCTTTCCTCAGTGTCTCCTGGTGGTTGTAGAGCGTCCATCTCCTTCCCTTTGGGTGGAAAAGCAAAATTTTAAAACTGGCATTTCACTGTAAAACTGTGGTGAATTCAAATCAGTGATTTGAACTTCAGCGTCAGGTTTCACAAAATCCAGGCTTCTATTTCTCACTTCCATTAGCTTTCAAATATTTTTAAATCTACTTTTCTGTAGAAAATCCAATAACTTTCAGGTTATTTTTTTTCTAAATATGTGCTTATAAAGCAAAAAATGAAAATAAATAGTATCTTTCAGTACATTTTCCTTGTTGAATAGCATAATGTGTGTATGATGTACACTCTAGTTGGAGTATTATAAATAAGGTGAGAAGCAGCATATAGCTCATACAAACCCAGTGTTATTTTCGTATGAAAATGAATAGGTATACCTGAATATATGTCTGTAAAAGCAATTGGCATAACCGTTCTTCAGGTAGTAAGAGAATTTATAAAAATTATCTTTCAAATTTTCTGACAAAAACTGATGAGAGAGACCTCTACTATTATTTCCTTACAGCAGTGATCTTTAATAGCTCATTTTAATAGCTTTTTAGCGGCTATAGTTTAATAGCTTTTTAGCAGTGCATGGGCCGAAGTTACCTGCTACTTCCACAGCTACAGTCAAAAAGGAAGCTGTAAATTAAAAGGACAAATAAACAAAGCTCAGAAGATCATCAGAGACTACAATTTGGGATCTCTACTCGCCGATACGCTAAGGGAGAATACTACTTGTGAAACCCAATTAGGAACGTGTGTGGTGTTGATGAACTTAAAATACCCCAACGCTGCGTTTAAGGAAAATGGATATTTCCTTCTTCAGAAGCGCCTTGCTAAAAACGGTGTCGGAGGAATCATTCCAAACTAGTGAATAAAACTATTTTAGGACTAACTTGGAGCATGCTGGTGCCAGTCCGTGTGTGTAAACTGCAGGCACTGACTGAAAGAACAGATGATTGAAGCAATATTTAAACCTGAGTTCAGCCTCCTAAGAATACTCCCTGCCCATATTTGTATGTTTACAGCAATCAATACACACTACTAGGATGAACCAAACTGGCATTTTTTGGCCAGGCTGCAACTGTCATTTGACGTTTGCTTTGCGTTACTTGAGCTTGTGAGACCCTTTGGCGTTCGTTGCTTCCCCAATCATCCTGAATTTCCCTGTGGGTTGCCTAATACCGGCTCACCTAGGCATGCCGTGGGTCACCCATCGCTGGGCGCATCTTCCCTCTCGCCCCGCAGCTCGCCCTGTCCGGCGTCCTGGGGCTGCGACGTGGGGTCGTTCTGCAAAACACCCGAGGAGCTGTGGGGAAAAGCACAGGCTTTGCTGGTCCTGCCCGGCGGAGATGTCGTTGGTGGTAGGCGCACGTACAGTTCAGCGCTGAAAGCTCAGTTTGCAAGGCAGTGTAAGGCTAAATTTGAGACATGCGTATAACAACCAAATCAAATGATATCCTGGCCGGATATTGAGAAAAAATGAATCCTTTCTAAATTGTTAAGGAGTTGGTGTCTATATCAGTATTTTGGAGTGAAAGAAGCTACTTACTTTACTAGAAGCCATACTGTTTCATCAGGAGCTAATATTTCCTTCTTAATACCTCATTTTGATTTGAGTTTTCTCAAATTTCTGCGTGATAGGAGCTGTCAGCATACAAAACTCTCTGCATCTCCTGTGTAACACAAGGAGGACCGAAAGGTACTTGACCACTGACAACAGCCCTTTCTCCCTCTTCTCTTTTTCTTTTTAGAATCCAGTTTTTTGTTGGGAAATGCCCAGATTGTGGACTGGCCTGTAGTTTATAGTAATGACGGTTTTTGTAAACTCTCTGGATACCATCGAGCCGACGTCATGCAGAAAAGTAGCACTTGCAGGTACGTGCACTGTCTGTTCGTTTTCACTCAACGCACTTGTAAAATTGTAATCTGCTGGGAAGAAAAATTAGCGTTTGAAGAAGGGATTGATACATGAAAAGATTTGTTTTGCAGAAATTAAAGTGAAACTGAAATACAAAAACCAGCTTTAAAATGAATGAAACCGGCAACTTATCCAGGTCATGGTAAAGCACTTAACCGTATGTATTCAGTTAAGCACATGGTTGACTAACTTCCAGTAAAATCAATGCTTAGTTCCATCCGGATGAATAAACTACTCACATACTTCATGGTAAGTCCTTTGCTAAATCTGGGGTAGTGTTCAGGATAGATCCTGAAAGATTTAGTCCTAAATAAAAGAAAGCTAATTTCCAGTTGTACAGATTTTTTTTTAATTTTGAACATCTACAGATTAAATATCTCACCCCAAATCTTTCTGAAAGCGAGCTAAACCTGCCCAGTTCTGAAATTTATGTCATCCTCTGGTAACTGCATAAATGCAATGAAAACCGCAGAAATTAAGACTGTCTAATGGAAAAGCTTTAGTGATGAATGAAGATGAACTACAGGTGCTCCCAAAGGAAGACGTAAATATTTTGAGGACTTTAGACCTTTCTTATTCTCTAATTTGGAATTTATCCTGACTAATCACAGTATGAATAAGCTCTGCCTAATGATCCAGTAAAGAAAGTGGAGTATGTATTTCAAAGATTTCTTTTGCTGGCTTTTCTCTAGTTCTCCTGTTATCGTGCCAGGTGCTCTGTGGTGGGCAATTCTATGCCCAGTGTCCATCCCTGTTGTTAAACACGGACCCTTGTGTACGCACATGTGCGCGCGCACACACTGAGCGCAGTAATGTGCAAACTGCATCTTTGTTCCCAAGAGGGCGATGAAGCTGCTGATGTTTTTACTCTGAGCGTTGCAGCTTTATGGCTGTTTCCTTTCGTTGGTGGTCTTTCTGGAGCAGGCAGCTGTGACTTATGGTTAGATGTGCACCTGTGCCTGCTCTGCTGCATTCGTTAAAAAAGAGATGGTTTGGGAGAAGACTGAATCCCATGTGTTTGTGTGTGTGAGAGCAAAATGAACCGAGGACAGAGGTGGAACAAGGAATGGCCAAGATGCACATTCACATAGGTTCTCCCTTGATAGCTTTGGAGAGTGCCCAACTCCAGGGGGGCTGGGTATCTACGTGGATAATTTTGGGACAGACAACGGACTGGTGCTGCAGCTAGCAGGAGCAGGGCAAGCAGCAAGGCTGTTGTCCCCAGGTCAACTGTTGCGTACATCAGAAGGCAGCGTAGGCACTGACACACTTGTGTGTGGTCTCTGCTCTCCTTTGCCAGACAGAAGAGGAGACCTTGGGAGCACGAGGCTCCTCTGTGCAGCCAGGTGTACTCTAATGGACGACAGAAAAGAAATGGGCATATGCTGCTGCCATGAAATATTAATTCACGCAATAGCAACAAAGTCAATATACTCAGTGGGGCTGAAAGAAGCAGCCTTATCGCAGCCTTCCCAAATATGCTTACACAATTCTCCTTTTGCTCTCTGTTATCATCTCTGCTTTCTCTGTATTGAACTTGATCTGTTTCACTGTGAGCTAACTCATGTGCCAGTGTGTTAAAATCATTACAAATACGGAATGGGATTGTAGGAAAATGTTGGGAAAATACCAGTTTAGCAATACTCCTCTCTTGGTAATACCCCTGTGCCTGAAAAACAGAGGGGACCTGAAAAGGGTTATTCCATCTGGGTGCTCTCTATGAATGTGATGGGCTCTCATTACGTCTGTAAGGATCCTATTCTGGTCACATTCGAGTGAGTCGTAGAGCTGAATTCTACCTGTATGTGGATCCAAGGAGGAATTATTTTAGAAAATGTTGCTGCTAGCAAAGATTTTTTTTTTTCCTTTTGTCTTCATTGTCTACATCCATCTCTGGATTTTGGGGTGACCTCTCTACACTGAAAGCATGGCCAGCTCGTTTTGTTGTATCTGGGTCTTAGCTGGTGGAGTTAAATATGCAGTGAGATCTTTTCTGCTTCTTACACGACATCCCAGCCTTTGCAGGTAAATGGAGAGCTGGGAAGGTTTTCAACTTGGTCTGACATGCGGCATATCCCCTACCAAAGAGAAATGTCTTTGGAGCTTCTCTAATGAAGAGCTTTGCAGCAGTGTGGAATGCAAAATAGTTTCAAGGTCAATTATGCCTTTTCAGGTTTACTCGATAGAATGTGACTGCAGGGTTTTTTTTTTTGATTTCTGGAACCATTATTTATTTTATTTTTTTTTTTCAGTCAGGCTCTCAGTCTAGATTTGAGACATTCTGCCCAGGTTATGTTATATTATACATAAAATTATTTTATATATAATGTTTACTTTAATGCTATAAGGCAAATGCTACGGGGTAAAAGCGTTGTGGTGCCCCACCTTTATTACAGGTTTTGGAAGGGCTTTTAGTGCCAAAAATCCCACCAAAGAAAAATGGACAAATATAAGCTATCAGGGGAAATCGAGCACCTATTTCTTAGGGGCCCCATTTAAATTGTTACTGAATGTAAGTGTGATAAAGGACGAACAATTGTTTTCAGCATTGAGTGAGTTTGCCCCCGCCTGGTATTTCCTATGACCCATTTCTGTCTGTCACAACCTATACCCTATATTGAAGCTGCTCATGTGTCATCATTATATCAAATCTCAGGAAGTCTTAGCTGATACTGGTCATAAGGAAGGGTGGATAAACTGAAGGCGCTGGGGATGCAACACTAGCTGAACACTGCATGATGGGAATCAACGTGCATTCTTTCTAGGTCCACATGACACCAGAAATTGCGCGTGTAACTGGGGCAGATGTACAGAAGAGTTGGTATAAGCGAGTGCTAAAATGCACAGGATTTTTAGCTGGAAGGACTTGTGTGCTGGTGAAGCATTGCTCTCCTGAATGAGCCGATAGTCCATAAGGTGGATGGGCAGCTGCCCTTCCAACATCTCTGACCTTCAAGTAACTATGCAAAAATCCCTGCCTTCCAGTTGCACCAATAGATTAGCTGTTATGTAGGAAAACTAATTGTTTCATGCCCCGTTGCCAAAATGCATGAAAATTTACTTAGAATAAACAATTGCAAAACATTAAAACCCTGTTTCATGTTGCAATTAATATCAGTTTCTCCTCAATGTTATTGCTTATCAGTTAATTTAGTATTCTAGGCAAGCTTTCAGAAAAGCAGGCACCTATTGAGTGGCTTGTTAGTAGACCTACCGTGGCATTTTACACTTGGCATTTGCTCCAGGCTTTGCTTTGCTTTCTCTCATTGCACCTGAGAGCCGAGCGCAGGGCTGGAAATAGCTGGGTGCTTGTTTGTTTTTAAGAAGGAAGGCTGCTCTTGGGCCCTCTGTGCATGTTGTCTCCCAGCGGTACAGCAGGAGGGAATTGGATCTCCTTGCTGAAGTGGTTGTTTACAGGTAGTGTTTCCACCGAAGTGCTTGCAGTGCTCCAGTCAACATCTCTGTTCTCTCTTGTTTTGAGCTGCTGCCATTTCAAGTGGAGTAAAACGTCTGTGAGTGAAATCCTGGCTGCAGTGGAGCTCATGGCAGCATTCCCGCCAAGTTCAAAGAACCAGGATTTTGCCTGGTGTGTACAAAGTGTTGGACTTACCGTTCAAAGAAAGCTAGATTTGTTACTGGGAGATTATGTCAGTGGCCTGATTTTTGTGCATGCGAAGGACCCCAGTGCTGTCAAAGCCTTGCGAAGACATCTGCCCAAGAGCAGCCATTGGATCCGGGGAGCTTTAACGATTATATTCAGAAATGATGCCTGTTCTTTAACTCTCCGACTCTTGAAGCTATTGATGTGTAGATCAGTGTTTGCTCTTCCTTCTGGGTAGGTGTTTGCCCATTGGAACTGATCTTTTTCATCCAATGCTTTCAGATAAGCAGAGCTGTAAATTGGATGTAGGATCATAGGCCTTCCATGCTTTACCTCTCGTCTAACCTTGATAATTCCTTACGAGGAGCCATTAAAAACTGACCTGGCAAGCCCTGTAGACCTGGAACGATCCTGATGACACCAGTAGAGGTGTTGGATCCTGACAAAGGACAGAAGAACACAATGAAAAGCTTTATATGTGGCTTTTCTGTGTCAAGGGATGCTTTCAGAGGGAGGCGGGAATGCAGACACCTTAAAAGACGGGCAGTCTGTTTCAGAGATGGGGAAAATTATCTCAGATTGTGCCTTTCTTCTGAAATACTTGGAGAGTATTTCACTGAGTCCTGTCCTTGTCTCTCTTTGATAAGTCTATTTTCTAGGTAGTGAGTTCCTCAGTAGCAGGGTGGTTTTGATATTGTCTTGTACAGTTTGCACTGAAGGCACTTGACAAGCAGTAAATAACAAAAACATGAGGCAGAAAAAGACAGAGTGATTGACTGGAGAAGTAGGAGTCCCTCCATGTGTACAAAATAGGACAGAGGAAAGTAGATTAAAACTGTGATAAGCAGAAATCTTACGTAACTTTTACAGTGGAGTTGCTCTGAGGCTCCTTCAGTGCCTCAGTATTAAAAACTGCCTTCTGAAAAATGTTTTTATTCTAGCACAAGCCTTTAAAATATCTTTTTATGTGGGAAAATAATGCAAGAGTTGAGTTTTACAGGTTCACTGCAGTAATAAACTGGCTTTAATTTAAAACATAAAGTTGATTGATTATGTTCAGCAACTAGTTAATAAGTATGTCCAGAGCTCAGAATGCCAAGTATGATTTGTCATTTTAATACTAATTAATAATGACTTGCTGTATTAGAAGCCATGTAATGTCAAGTGCTTCAGCAGTTTCATGTTATTCTTTCATTGAGGGACTGAGAGGAGCATTGTTTTAAACCTCAAGACAACGCAAACGAAAGTTCAGTTGCACAAGGGGCTGTGTAAAACCTGTGAGCTCTTATTTTGCCTTGGAGACATTAGCAATCTGCTTTGCCTCATCAGTGCGCTGAAAGGGACAGATGAAAAAAAACAAAACAAAGCATTCAAACTTTTGTTTGTTGTTACCTCAAGTATAAAACATTATCAGCTGGACTCGAGAAAGAAAGACAGGTCCCTTGAAAACGAGCCGTAAGCTCTGTGGCAGCAGTGTATGCTGAGACAGAGCGATACCTTAGCGAAGCCTCGTGCCCTGGTAAAAACCATTTCCCGATGTCGCTCGCCGCAGCAGCATCTCCATTACTGTGCTATCCCGAGGGTACCAGTTATGACATGTCAAGTATCAATAGCTCTCCGGACGTCACTGGCAAGGATTTGCCTGTAGCGACATGCGAGTGACATGGTTTCCCCGATGACCCACTTCTGCTTCCGTGACTCGCGCTGCAAAGTGCCTTTTTCCGGGAGCAGCCCCGTTGCGCCTGCAGAAGAGATCCACGGTCTGGCCTTCATTGAGTATTTCAATGCTTGCCAAGTCACTAACCACTGCACTGTTTTATTGTTTCAGAACAGTAAGCGTAAAATAAATGTTTATTGAACCTTTGGAGGTCTGTTGATCAATAAAAGAGAAACTATATTTAAACCACAGAGGCACTGATAGCTTTTCTTTTCTCTTTCAGATTCTTGGGGTTGTCTGTTGTGGGTTTCAGTTGAAGCTTAAACTGTTTGTGAACGAAGAAAATGGGGGAAAAAAAATGCCTGGTCAATTAAAAGTATATCCATCTAAGTGTTTGAAAGCTTTTATCCTATGTTCTGTTCTCCCTCAATTCTGTAATTGCAAATTTGCACAGAGCAGCCTTCACCTATTTTTAATCCAAGGAAGCAGGACTATAAAAGCCGGGATGTTTTGTTACAAAGGCTTTCAGAAGTCAGGTCAACAGGGCTGGGTTCACTTATACCGGCTGAAAATCTGACCTGGGATAGAATGCAAAGGGGACATGGTCAAATGGCAAGAAATAGCAGAATTAAAATTACGTTTTTGTAATGTCAGTCTGGAGAGGGGGGAGTCTTCAAAAGCATTTTAGTATTTTTCATATTTTCACTGGTAGATTAAAGAAATGTAGTATTCAATGAGAAAAATGGGGATGAATTTGGTTGTATTTGTCAGCAGTGCAGACGTAACTACAGTGGGACAGCTCATGCTTAGGCTGTGCTGAATTTTCAGAGAATTGCAGTCTTTAAGTCCACTGGTTAAATCCTGCCTTAGTTTGCTATCAGTATGCAGTGAAAGGATTCCAGTTTTCATATTGTCTAGCATGCATCTGGACAGTGTTAGATTTGTAGCCATCAATTTAGCGAACAACCTTTAACTGCAGTAGGCTCCATTATTCCACCAGAAGCCTTTTCAAGAGGATTGAAGAAAATTTGGAAGGTTTTGTTCAATTTTCCCCATTTTAACAGCAGTATTCTTATGGCCTACAGTCACGGCAATAATGACTTTATATGTTACCAGCTCTTTTTTAACAAACAAAAAAGCACTTAATGAAACGTGAGATGACAGGGAATAAATCTGCTTTCCAGTAAAAAGACAGCCATGGTTACTTACTTTTCATAAAGTAAAGGTTTCATAAAAATCCTGAAACACTGTAAATATTTAAATGAAGTGTAAATCATAGTTAAACTTTGGTAAATGACAGTTAATAGCATCTCCAATGCAGTTTAAAATGACTGTAACAAAGTTGCTACTTGTCTAGATAAAGGAGAAATTTCTTTTTCTTTTTCAGTTTTATGTACGGTGAACTGACAGACAAGAAGACCATTGAAAAAGTCCGACAGACTTTTGACAACTATGAGTCAAACTGCTTTGAAATTCTCCTCTACAAGAAAAACAGTATGTATATATTTGCCTATGGTGTTGGGAGTGATAGTGCATATTGAAATTATATAATTGACTAAAATAAATGTTCATTTTGATATATGGATGAGCTTGGGGCAAGATTTGGAGAAGAAACTGGTGTTTTGGTCACCACGGGTTTTATATGCATACCTAGAGCTCTTTTTTCAGGACAAGTGTTCAGATTGCCAAGAAGGAGTAGCTGGTTTCCGATATCTCTCCTTTGAATCCTTCTTTCCAAAATATATTTGCTTTTGTGGATTGTGTCCCTGAAGGGAATCTGACTGGGTTGCACAAAAAGAAATCCTGAATGAAGTCCCCTCACGTTAGTCTTGACACCCCAGCACCCCCAAATCTCCACAATTGAAAACCTGTACCCCTAATTTCCGTGAACAGTTACTCCCAGCAGTGCTGAGATGCATTTGTGATGTGTGAGCTAACCCGAACGAACTTTGGTGGCACTACTAAATTTGGCACCATAACTAGGAATTAATTAGAAAACTGGGGAATCTTGTAACTTCCTGAGATCTGAAACCTAAGTTCTTTCCTCTTGGCAGCATTCTGATTTACAGCAAGTTACCTGTAACCTGTAACAGTAAGAAAAATTTTCTTCAGTTTGTCTTAACTAGCAGCCAGCCTATTCAGACTTCCTATCTTGCCATGTGCATGGATGCTACGTATATTAGGCAAAACCTGCAAGTTGGGGTGTATTAACCTGGTGTGTGATGTCCTTGTAGCAAGCCCGTAGCTTTTTGCTTTGGTTTGGAGATTGCCTGCTTGAGCTTGATTGTGTTTTGAAGATTTATTGAGCTGCAGTTTCCTTCACCTGTGCCCAGACCTCCAAGTTTCTAGTTTGTGAGATATGCAGGATACCAGAAGGACTTTATGGAAAAATATTCATTTTTCTTTCCAGTCTGGAGGCAGTTCCCGACCAGAAGTTCTGTTGCTAGCTTTCTTCTCCGTTATCCAACGCCCAGAACTTCAGCTTTCTCTTAACACTGGTAGACTAACCTTCTGGGTCCTGTTCAGCAACTGGTTTGCCCAGTGTTTGCTTCCACTTGTCATAGTCTGAGCCTTGCAAGAGAAGACTCTTCAGGAAACGGTGTTATCCTCCAAACTAAATAAACATAAAGAAATAGAGAATAGTATCTTTTGATGTGAATGTAGTTCTGCAAAACGTAAGCTATTGCTCTGTGGAAGGTCTTATGTTTACTGTGAGCGGAGACATTGCGTGTTGCCTCTCTCCTGCTTGGAACTCGCTATACTTTTGGAGAACCCTCCCACCCTCATTTTCAAACTATAGGTCCAGGGGTGCTGTGCATTCTTGATTATGTGGCACTACCTTTTCTTTCTCAGAAGTTGCTTTTGGCAAAGGGAGATTTTGAGATTTAGAGTTGATTTCCCTTCTTCCTTTCTCTCAGCACAAGAAATGGTCTTAAGAGCTGTTATTCTCAGGCAGTATCTGTATGACTGTTGACTTCACTGTAGCTTTTTAACCTAGCTAGCAGGTCAGCTATTTCAGACCTGAAGAGTTTACTGCAAATTTCTTCTGTTTTACTGCATTCCCTTGTATATACCCTTCAGCTCTAAGCTCCCTAGCTATTCAGCGCCCATGTAGACATATGCATAAATATACTTTATATGCAGATACATTCATATATATGTATGTATGTATGGGTAATAGGGAAGTTCATATGAGGGACCTTCTCTACGCGCTTTTGAGCCTCTACCCAGACTGCCACTTCTACGGCAGTAGCCACCTTGCCTCTCCCTTTGATTTTTATCTGTGCTGTCATATAGTGCAGGCATCTTGCCTAGCTACTTTCAGGGCCTTGTAAAGGGTGCTGATTAGTTGCTGAGTTTAAGTGTGAAAGTACAGTATTACTCCAGGGAGCTGCAACACTTTACTTAGAAGTTATAAAAAGAGTCTTTTATCTTGGGTTAGCAACCAGGAATTGACATTATCAAGTAATCCACATAATGGCCCTGGAGTTATCACAAAAACAGTGCCCCCTCTTCCCCGTCTCTCCAGTTTACTGCTAGTGAGTTATTGGTTTAATCCCAGCAAGTCCAACTGAGCATCGCTGAATATTGTCGCTAACCCTTGTGGATTTTGACCTTCCCCACAACAGTCCTCTTCCAAATGGGTTTCTTTGCCCTCTGGGCATCCCTCCTGCAGTGGCTGGCACAGCTCCCAGACGTCGTGCGTTAGAGGAGATGTGGAGGGGCTGGCGGTGCCCGTGGGGTAGCAGTGGGCAGGCAGGTTGTCTTAAAGTGTCAACGTTCAGGCTGGCATTCAAGCAGCTCAGGAGAAAAACGGTTATGTCGCCTGGCTAAAAGCACATCAAATGCAGCAGGTAATTAGCTTGCTGTGAAGGCATTTGTAGTGCAGGGTGTGTAGGTGTCGCTAGCTTGGTACGTAGGGGACACAGCTGTGGACACGAGGCTTTGTCTGATGGAAAGCTGCTCTGACGTTCACATCCCTGCAGGGGAATGGGGTGTTTCTAAGCAAATTGTGTGTGTGCGTTTACTATTCTTCCCCTTATAGAGCAGACCTGCTTGTGCCTAGAGGAGTGCTATGTGCTGTTTTTCTGCACAGGTATGAGTTTCAGCCTAGCAGGAAAGACCAGTCTCAGGCTCCGGAGCGCTTGTGAGAGCTCCCTGTGAACAGCGAGGGTTTACCAAAAGCCTTTCTAAACACCTCAACACGTTTTGTTCATTGTTTATTTGGTGACTGGTAGGATTTGAAAATTATTTTGCCTTTAATTCCGGAGCTAAACAGCAGATACATGCATTGCAGGGTGCTCCACTGGCCTGCACAATGAGGAGATGGAGTTTTGTTTTTCATAGCTCCATATTGTGTGAAGAAGGATTCAAAGATATCCTCCATACTTTTTTTTTTTTTAAACTAGGTACCCTGCAGACACTTAAGTTTGTGAGAAACGTAGTGGGAAAGATCAAGACCAAGAGGGGAAGAATAATATATTTTATTTCAGGGTAGAGATTTATTTAGCCTTCTGTCTCTGGTTATCAGCTAATTAGGTTGGTAGCACTTCCTCCTTTTAATCTATCTGTAAAAATGGGAATGTGTTATTTTCCCTTAGGGAGGGGAAATTAAAGATCTGGAAGTTGTAGAAATAGCTAGAAGTGGTCTTAAAATACATGTGTATTATGAAACATTTATATAAAGTATTCTGTGTACAGATTGGGGAAGGTTTGTGCTACACCACAGTTCAATGTCACCTTTTTCTCTGTTTCAGGAACCCCAGTTTGGTTCTACATGCAAATTGCACCCATAAGAAACGAGCATGAAAAAGTTGTTTTGTTCCTGTGCACTTTTAAAGATATCACTTTGTTCAAGCAACCAATTGAAGATGATTCAACAAAAGGTAAACATGAAATACACTATTATTTTTTGTAGATGATAAAATACATACCCAAGCTGAGACCTTTGCCAGGGACTTGTCATGCCTGCGATCTGTGTCTTGATTTCAGGAAATGCTATGTGACCTATCAGAGTTTTGATACCACTCTCCTAAATTATTGCTTAAAATTGAAAGATGAAGCACCATGAACGGAACATTTCCTAACAGTGTTTTGCCCCAACCACAAGTCTTCCTTGCTCTGTGTAACGATACTACTTCACTGTTATTTGCTTAAAATTAGATAATTTAAAGTCATTCTAATGCTGTGTTGTTTTGGGAGACCTTCCCCTTAAGGGACTGGCACCCTCTTTTGAGCAGAAGGTATTTTCAACTCCTGGGTGCTGCCATGTTGACATTTCCTCCCCTCTCTCTCCTGGAGATGACGTGCCAATAAAACGACCAATTTGGGTCCTCTCTTACTTGCCAGCAATCGTGTTTGCATAGCGAAGGCTGTTGTGCTTGCTGGCCAGCTGTCGCTGGCGATAGCATTGATTCGGATGTACGATGCTCTTGCATTGGCCTGATCCGCAGCCTTGTCCGGAGTGAACTGCTGGGGGAAGGGGCAAAGCATCTCAGAATATCCCTGACTTTGATCCTAAGATGCATTGTCTTGCGTCAAGTTCAGGTGCGTATTGCGTTGGGTAACATGGCGCACACTTATATAAAGACCAGCAGTGATATGCTGTGGCATCCATATCCCGTATTCTCTTGCAACTTGCCTTCTGATGGTTAATTCCTTGCTATATTTTTCTTTTCACACTTGGCGAAGGCTTGATTTCTCACTGAGAACCATGTGCACCCTAAGCTGTCTTCTCAAGAATAAAGCTTGGTGCCATTTGAATGCAAACAGGATTTAAACTACTTTCTTACAGTGTAAATAACACTTATTATGCATGTTTGGATAACTGAAAAGTAAGTGTATAAAGTCAGACTTAAAAATAAAATAAATGGAAAGGCTTGTCTTTGAGCTAACACCAAATATGAGGGCTTTTTTTCCTAAGGAATATTATTTGCAAAGTTGTAAGTTATTCTTATATAGGAATACCTTCTCACCCGTCATAACTGTGTTACTATCTCTACAATTTAGTTGCATCTTGCAAATGTTCCTTTGTTTCACGGTCAACTCCAAAGTGTAGAGTCCTTCTTCCTGGAAAATAACCTGACCTTTTAAGGATAAATGTCACTTAATTGAAAGGAATTTAATTCTGCAGGTCTGAAGGCATGGGACTGGCTCCTTGCCCCAGCGTATATATAATTTGTAGTGGGAGTTCAGCAAGGAGAGGGCCAATCTTTGCAAGGATCCTCTTTTAGGATTTCCTTCCTGATGCTCTTTTGGCAGACTGAGACATATGTTGCATGGGATCAGCCCTCAAAACCGCCTCCTTCACGGCCTCTGCCCCACTTTCTGCAGCAAGTGGTTGTAGTGCCAAGGCCTTGTGTGGCTGCGGCAGGCTAGGGAAAACTTAGTGAAGCTAGCAAAAGTGGTTCCCATATGGAGAAATGATGGATGTTGCATCTCTTGGTTTGTTGGCCGGGGAGAGCTTGCCCTGCCGGTGCTGCCTTCCCTGGGCTGGGAGGAATGTGCTGGGCGCTGAGGGGACGCAGAGTCCTCCTGGCATCTCTTCGGACAACCTATGGGAAAGAGCGATAGCTGCAAAATGCGTAACAAGTATGCTGCTGTTCTCCAGTGAAGAGTACCCCATTACTTGAAATGCCAGTTATTACGTACGAACGTTGCAAAATATCGTCGTCAGCAGCCTGAGAGGTTTGACTACATGTTTAAAGAGCGCTTACTTCTGTCAAAGCCGTGCTTAGGAGATGGGGGCTGTAGTCTTGTGCCTTTTATTTTTCTTCTTTTTTTTTCTTTTTTTTTTTTCTTTTTTAAAGCACCATTAAGGCATATGTTTGGAGGCCAAGAGAATTTTGTCAGAGTGCTTTGATTAGGGCATTGATCAGGATTGATCAATATATCCAACAGGCTCCATAATTACAAGTCATTGACCTGATTTTTTTTTCTCTCCTTTTGCATAAATTAGAGCTTATCTCTTGTGTCTTTCATAAATAAAATCATATTTGAATATTTTGCAGCATCTTACTGCAAGGATATGAAAACAGCACCGTTGCATTATCCTCTGCAACTCAAATGAGTGGATCTGCAGGGTCCCACTGCACTGGGATCACGGTGTTGTTTTGTCAGACGTAGTGCTATGAGATATGCATAATTCATTGTCCTTGCAGATAACATTACAATATGCTTAGAAGCTGTCAGGCCACTTTCTTTTTGAATTATGAGATTGATAGACATATACATTACAATTTAGCATAGATTTTTTTAACTTTTGTAAAAAGCATTTCAGTAAAATACTGTTGTTGAGTGCTGGAATTTGTCATTTACAAGGCTATTAAAAAAAAAAAAAGAAACGAAGGGGTAAAAAAGTGGGGGAAGGAATTTTCTTCAGAAATTCTGCCAGGACCATGCAGTACATAATACATAAGTAACTATCGTGCAGATGAGTTACTATTACTTATGGGAGCAGTAAATTTGAGATAAAAAATTCAACAGAAATAAAATATTGATGCCATTATGCAATAATCTCTCCATACTAGTATATTTTGCACTGTTGGAAGGTATATTGCTTTGTTGTGAAGCTTCAGTATATCATGCTCCTACGAGGTACAAGGATATGGTATTTAAGATCATAACAAAGGATAGATCTATGCTGTGGAGCATCTGTGTGTCCTGGCTGCTGTAAATACATGGTAACGTTTGCCAGACCCGCTTGCACGCATGCTAGCGCAGGGCCATATGTAATCTGGATGTATCCCCCCACATCCGTAATGGTGGTCTGGCTGGCCACAGTGGTGTGCATCTTGCATAGTTAGTGGGAGCTAGAGTTGCTTTAGGAATTGTTTTATTTTATTTTATTTTATTTTTGGTGAGAGACCTTGTCTTTTCTTTTCCTAAGCCGTAGGCGATCACCAGCCCATTTCCCCCAGGCACTTCCAACTCTGCAGTTCTCCTCCTGAGTCCATCCTGCAGTGCTAGCCCAGGGTTTCGGCACTGTGGGATGAACTCATCCCGCCTGTGCTCACGGTGTTGTCGGAGCACAACAAGAGCAGCGATGGTGCAGGACGTGAGAAGAAAATAATTGTATCATTACAAAGCGCATCTGCAAGGTAGAGGCAGGATTTTTGCCCAGCACAGGCTCAAAACATGCTTGTTTACAGGCTCAGTGGAAAAAATATGCTTGTCATTGCAGGGACTAGGCTGGTGTGAGCAAGGGGAATTAGAGAGCTCCTGGGCACTGTGGCAGCCAGTGTATCTGGCTTGTTATTTGCATGCTCACCATTTACTATGCGCTACTGCTGTCAAAATAGAGGAGGAGGAGAGGGGGGTGTGCCTGCAGGAGGGAGCAAAAGTAATGAAAGATTTTCCCCTGGTAATCCAGGAGATTGAATTTGTTGCAGTCTGGAAAGCTGATGATAGTTGCTGGACTGAGATCAGGACTGGAGGAAAGGACCCACCTTAGATTTGAAGAATATTTGAGTTTTACCTTCCTCTAGTAAAATACAGTTTTAGAGATCAGAAGCCTTTCTGGTGTCTCGGCGTGCTCAGTTTAAGAGAAGGTACAGGCAGTTCCACACCGCAGATCTGACTAACTTGTCTCCTTATTTCACACTGTTGTCTATTACTGCTGGCTGAGGTACAGGAGACCTGTGACGTGGGGTGCTGAGATAAATTACAGAACAGTTTATTTACTCTTCCTTTAATTTGTTTGAACCTGAGCTATTAAGTGCCCTGGGTTCTTCTTGGTTTCCTCTCCCCCAACCTCTAAAAGTGCGCATATCCCTCTAAAGAGTTACAAGAAGTGCCAACAAACCTAAAAAGCCCAAACAATGTGTTAGCCAGTGGACAGCGAGGGATAATGTAAACAGGGACAAAAAAGTGCCTTTGTATCCTTGTAAATGAAGGATTACTTAAAAAGTGCCTAACAGTGCAAAACTGGCAACTGAAGTAGAAGCACTGAAGACTGTGATGATGGAAGGGACCACCATGTGGTGTGCTTGGTATGTTCACGCCTGGGTAAAGATGCCCCGTGCAGATGTGGGGCCCGTTTGCTTGATTTATGGTTCACACCGCCCCAAATCCTGAGCTGTCAACGACTGTGTTAACTGTGGGCTGTAGCAGCGTGGAGGAGATGGTGTGGGACTTAGTGATGGAGCAGGAGGCGTTGCAGGAGCTGAGGGTGTTGCCATCGGTGGTTACTGGGACAATGCCTCATTCCCCAGGCAAGGAGCTGTACTGTGTTTTGTCTGCACTTTCTTCCTTTCCTTCTCCTGTTCCTGTTTGGTAATACGAACTTTTGTCTGATCTGTGTCCAGTAGCAGGCAACAGGTCATATCAATGGTGGTTGAGGGCCAGATCTGCAGGTGTCCTGGCTGAATGCCTTACATAGCAGAGGTGGAAGGCCATTACAAGTGTATGAAATATCTTATTATGTATTTTTTTTTCCAGAGAATAAAAACCAAAGAATCTTTCCTTTTATGCTCAGTACTGTTGTAGGGTCACAGCTGGATGCTTTTTCAGCTTGCTGTGCTTTTATTCTCTCTTTAACCAATGGCCTTTTAAAACCATCTGAAGACATTCAGTCAGGCCAAAGACACAGTGATAATAATTTTAAGTTTATTTGTCAGGGAAATAAAAATGAAGCCATTTTTCTGAAGGAGCAAAGGCAATTGGGCTGCCTTTAATTTTTAACAACATTTAAAACCAGGAGTGCTGTAGATTATATTAAACTGAAAGTTTAAGGATGGAAGAAAGATAAGCACTTTTAGGCTGATAGTGGAGTTCACGTAGTTATGCAATGGCTTTATTTTCTTTTTTATCATCAGTGAAGAAGTGTGCCCTCCCAGGAAACTTGACAGTTTTGTTTGCTCAGGATTGGTTGTCCTGAGTTTTTTTT